ATGATGATGGCTCCCTGCAAGGGAGAGAAGTAATTTTAATATTATGTCAGGATTTACATTAAGAAAGTTTAATATCATTTTGTATTTTAGGCACATATGCAGCACTCATTACACCTCCCAAAAAAAATATGCCAATTGTGCCATACACTCCTTCTTTAACTGCTACTGTTATGAGTATGTAGTAACATAGTTCCAACTAGATGCTTGTGGTATAGTAAAGTACAATAAATCATTTGTTGTGTGTAAATTTACACTTGTAAACTTTTTCCAGGTTACTCTTTGAATGACAAAGAAAATATCCTTTCTCCAGCCAAGAAAACATGTGAGACCTCACCATCTAAAACTAAAGGTTTGCAGACATCAGGCTTCATTACCAAGCCACTCCTTGAAAAGCATCAACTAAGTAAGTATAACTTGATACATATTCCAAATTATCAATATCACAGTCTTTTGGCAATACTATTTGAGGGTTTGATAAAGTTTATATATTACTGCTCATAAACCTTGTATTCATACTATATTGTTTTGTGTATAACAGATACCCTTACCCTTAGTGAAAATGGCAACAGTTGCAAGTTAGCCCCTGAAAATGATTCATCTATCATAAAAAGAAAGCGAAAGGAACCTATGAACTCTGAGAGTGGCTGTTCTAGAACTGATGTCTTACCAATGAAGAAACTAAAAACTTAAGGCTACACTGGCAAGCCACCTCGACCAGGTAAAACTGAATTTTTCTTAATGTTAAGATGGATTTAAAAATATTACACTGTTTTAGAAATGCTGTTTTAGGACTCAAATGTTTCACTAAGTATACTTAAAGCTACATACTTCTTCTTTCCATTACTCTCTGATTTCATTTTGGCAGTTGTCATCAATGCAAATGGGAGTGCTTTGAAGTTGGACTGCTTCGTCACAGAGACTTCAAACCAAAACATTAATTTCGCTTGTCCCTAGTGCAAAGCACGCACGACGCTCAGCCGCTGGCGAAACCACGCACGGCGGAGCGCCGCTGGCGAAATCACGCACAGCTCAGCGCCGCTGGCGAAAGCACGCACAGCGCAGAGCCACTGGCGAAACCACGCAAGTGCATTTTTTGGTGATTTTTGGAGACATATACCGTTGGAAAGAGGAAATCATGCTCTTTCAGAATATATGGATATCTCGAATTTTTCGAAAAATGCACTTGCGTGGTTTCGCCAGTGGCTGAGCGCTGTGCGTGGTTTCGCCAGCGGCGCTGCGCTTTGCGTGGTTTCGCCAGCGGCGCTCCGTCGTGCGTGCTTTCACCAGCGGCTGAGCTTCGTGCGTGCTTTGCATTAGGGGCGAGCGATTTGTCTCCGAATACCAACTTAAGCCATGTGTCTACACAGCAAGGTAAATTACATTTTCAGAGAGTTGCATAGATTGATTTCCTTTAGTTACTTTGTATCGTAAGAAGATACTATTCCTAATCTATTGTAATCCATTTTTTATCTATGTTGTGTATGTAACAGATATCTCTAATGAAGATGGCAGCAGCAGCAGTCCAGTTTTTGATACTGATTTACCTATGGTCCATGAAAACAGGAAGGAAACTTTGGCCAGTGTGCCAGTCAAGAAAGCAAAAACATTAGGCTACAATTTAAAAGAAAAAAGCAATGTCAGAAGAGGGCTGTTAAAGTCATTCAACAACTGCTCTTCTGAAAATGGTATTTACCCTAATTTGTTTTTTTTGACTTCAACATTTTAGGGTGTTTTGATTGACACTTCATTTCTTTGTTTGCAGACCAAGTAAAGAGTTCCCGCCCGAAAAGAAAAGCCGCCCAAAGTCTGAGATATGACACTGCAGGTATTAATTTCAGAAGCCATGCATTATTTTCTTTCAAAACAATGCCCGTCTAACTGTGTTGAATTGTTGTTTCGATTCTTCTTTTAGACAATGAATCTGAACTATCAGAATCTCGATGGGACTTTAGTGGGTCAGATTTTGGTGATCCGACATGGGGAAGTGGTTCCAAAAAATCAAGTGAATCAGATGAAGAAACTGGATCTGATTCTTCTACTTAGTCTCCTGTGGCCTCAGTCAGCATCTCACCCACCCGCTCAGAAGATTGCAACTCTCCCATTCGCTCGGTTAACTCTCAAGCTGTTTTTAACAACTCACCAGCGCTCTCTGAAGTTAATGATTCACCACCTCAACCAGCTCGTAGGAATTGGCCTACCCAGTCAGCAATGGTGAAAGAAAGACAGCTTAAGATGAACAGTGGTGCTGCATATACTACATCAAAAAATAAAGAAATTAAAGCAAGATCAATGAAAGCACTTAAAGAAAAATGTCGTTTGAATTGCAAAGAAAGACTTAGTGAAGATGACCGAAAGGATGTGTTTACAGAATATTGGGGTCAAAGAGATTTCGACCGAAGAGTGTCATACATTGTTGGTCATGTATTTGAGAAGCCAACTAAATTTCATAGACAAAAGGTGGATGGTAGTAAAAAAAACAGAACTTGCACTCTAAAATATGAACTTGACATTCATAATTCTAGAAGAGAGGTTTGTAAGCCGTGCTTCCTTGCTACTTTGGGAGAAAATGATGGATTTGTCTTGAAAATAAGAAGAAATCAGTGTCAGGGGTGACGAGGCCAGACGCAAGAGGAAGGAAGCCCTCAGTGCGGAAAACTCCTTAGCAAACAACTGAAGCTATAATCAAGCACATTAATGAGTATCCAAGGTACAGTAGCCATTACGGCAGGAGTCATTCATCAAGAATGTACCTTGGTGCTGGCGTGACCATTCGAGGAATGTTTAATGATTATTCTTCCAAAGATAATCCAAAGACTTCTCTAAGTTGTTACTCCAGAGAATTCCGGAAGACAGGATTGAAGTTCAAGCCCCCTAAAGTAGATACCTGCAATAAATGTGATGCCTTTGAAATGTCACTGAAGGGTTTACCAATAACAGAGCAAGCAGAAATAAAAGCTGAACGTGACGCTCATCATGAGAAAGCTCGGCTGGCATATACTTGCAAAAAGCAAGATAAAGCTGACCAAACTTCTGAAAGCTGGGTTGCATCTTTTGACCTTCAGCAGGTATTGTACTGCCCACATTAAACTTGTGGAGCAGTCTTCTACAAAAGGCAACTGAGTGTTTTCAATCTTACTGTATTTGATTGCTTTCACAAGAAAGGCATCAATCACATGTGGACCGAAATTGAAGCAGGTCGTGGGGCTAATGAAATTTCTTCTTGTATTACTCATTTAATTGCCTTTGATGTTCCACCTGGAGTGAAGAAATTAACATTGAGGTCTGATACATGCTCTGGACAAAACAAAAACAGTATTGTATGTGCTGCCTTAATCTCAGCTGTAGCTGAACACCCATCATTAGAGGTAATCGATCACAAATTTCTTGTCGCTGGGCATACCCACATGGAATGTGACCAGGTGCATGCTGAAATTGAAAAGAAAAAGAAGCATACAACAGTTGAACTTCATCACCCAGCCAACTTCTACAATTTTGTTAAAACTGTTGAATACAGAAAGGAAACCTTGGATGTCGTGCTTATGAAAGATCATTTTCTGAATGTTTCTGCACTTTTAGATCTCAAGTGCAAAGGGCCACTAGTTCTCAGCGGTAAAAACCAGGCTGGTGAACCCTTTGCCTTTTCTCCCGTACAGTGGTTTCGTTACCAGAAAAAAAAATCCCACAGTTGTCTTGTACAAAGAATGCCACAATGTTGATGAGCCATTCAAAGAAATAAGTTTTCGAAGAAGGGGGAAACTTGGCAATAGTGCATTGAAGCCATCTAAGTGCAGCTCTAGACCAAGACCAATAAGTGTAGAAAAGAAGAAAGACCTCATTGAACTTCTCCCTCAAGTGAACCCACTGTACCATGACTTCTTCAAAAACATTTTGTCATCTGCAGATGCCATTGACGTTAATCCTGACTGCTTGACACCGGAAGATGTTGCCCTAGAAATTGATAGATGTATTGATGAATCTTAAATGTTTATTATGTTTTTAATATCTTCATTATCTGTAATATAATTGCAGAATTTGTTTTGTTTTCTTGTTAAAAGTTTTTGAAAAGTAGATGCACTTTATTCTATCTTTGTAATACATAGTTTTGTACTGCTAACTATTTATGAATACATAATGACTATATATGAATTTTTTAAGATTTCGTTCATTGTGATAGTCCCAACGAATGTTCTATCTGAAGTGCTGTTAGTCTTTTTCAAACTCATGGCAGTGTTAATTTCAGTTTAAAATAAACTATATCTCAGAGTTGTTAAGAAGTTATGATTTTAGTAGATGCACTTTATTCTAGCTTTGTAATACAGTTTTATACTGCTAACTATTTAGGAAATGTTTTTTCTAGTATATGAATTTTTAAGATTTCATTCATTGCATTAGTCCCAACGAATGTTTTATCTTAAATGCTGTTAGTCTTGTTCAAACTCATGGCAGTGTTAATTTCACTGTAAAATGAACTATATCCAAGAGTTGTTAAGAAGTTCTGATTTTAACAGCAGTTTTGTAGTACAAATTGTGTACAATTAATTTATTCACTTCTCTCTGAATATTTATTTATTTATTTTTGTGTGAATGTTGTCTGTTTCTGATTTAAGTTGTTTAAATTTTTGATTTATTCATATGCAATACTTCTAAGGCATCTCATTTAAATTAGACAATAACTAAGATTTCTGATTTATGTGTTTGTTTCAAGAAATGAAACTTGAAAATTTATCTGTCAATTGAATTTAGGACTGAAGTACCTATTTAGATTTTAATATGTTTTGTCTACATTGCATTAAAAACACATTTTATCTGCCTGAACTAACTAATGAATCATTTTTGCATGACATGTCCCGATCTGACTATGATGGTACTGGCAAGGTTGATGAATAGAGTGGGTATTGAATTCAAGGGGGTAAAAACTGTTGAAGACATAGCTGAGACTAGATTAATATTTATATTTGTCACATTTTCCTGCTTGTTGACAAGACACACAAGGGACAGCAGTACCTTAAACAAAGTTGAATGTTTGCACTGCAAGAGGCAATCACTGAGCTACTTTAAAGAAAAGAAATTATGTTGGAATTCAATACATACTACATACTTCATTATAACTCCCCCTTCTCTAGCTTAGGCCTGGTAGGATACATAGTAATGGTTACAAAAGAAAAGGATGTACAGAAGAATTATTATTACATTCAAAGGTTTGGTGATTCTCACTTGGCATTGATTTCTGATATATTGATGGTATAACGCCCCACCACAGCCACCACCATCTACCTACTATACTAAGGGAATTTAACACTTAATAAACTGATTCTTTTCAAACTCTTCAAGAAGTGCTTCTGGGTAGGCTAACTCTATAAATTAAACAATTGAGTTTATTCCTGCCTCTTATTATACTATAATCACAGACTGTTGTAATTAAAAGTTTACAACAAAGCTTTGCCGTATTTTCACTGCAGCTCAGGATCTTGCGCTAGGAAGTCAGACGAACCCATCAACATCCACATAAAGGCATCGAAGGCAACAAGACGGGGGGAGACCTGGAAGCAATAAAAAGGTATCAAGTTAGACAAATTAAAGCAGATAGGTAGATTCTTATTACTTACTGATATATACTTACACCTGGTAAACACCTTAATCCGATGAAGTGCTGGTCTCGAGAAATGCAAAAGCGAAAAGTCCAGTCCAGGAGGTACACGATGTGATGCAGAAGAAGTTTTCTTGTTAGTTGCCTCCGAGCTCAGCATGGTGCTAAATGGAGCCTTGCTGCTCCATCAGTCCCTCAAATATGGTGAAACCTGAAATCATATACAACTATATTAGTCCAAGATAATGACAAATCCAACCAAGCCAAAACAAGCCAATACAGAAAAGGAGAAATGCAGGAGCAGGAAAATATTTTTCTTTACATTTAATGTCAAAAGAGTTAAAATAAATTACATGGGTCACAGCAAACTATGTTGTTTAAAAAAGAAAAAACAACAACGCAAATAGCATATTTAACACAAACAAAGAGGAGAAAGCTTCTCAAAAGAATCAGCCTCGGTACCAACGGTCATCAGAGTAAGAAGACAACTCCAAACCAAAAATAATGCAACAGAGGAGGTGACAAGCCGATTTGATTTGTGCAAGCAGCGATTTAAAGTGAGAGGACAAACAAACCACATTGCTGAGCCAGGTTATATGAAGGCAAAGACCAGGCAGTTTAGTGGTTGTGCAAAAGCGATAGTTCAATGAAAACACACAAAACGAGAGCGAAATCCGTGAGAAAAAGACTTACACTCGGAATCCGTGGAGTCTACAACATTTTTCGGTCCAAAACCAGGCAGCTGAGCTGAAAGGATAGACACGATTTTGATCTTGCTCTGTAGCAGACCGTTTCTGCTATCCTCTTCCCCCTCCCCCCCTCCCCCCCTTTTCTCTCGAGCTGGCTTACTCGCACTACCACTGCGGATAGAGGTTCTGGGGTGCACATACCCACACCCACGACAGACGACAGAATAACGACAACAGTTACGAAAAGCTTTCACACCACCGACTGATTGATTGACAGTGTAACTTCGATTTCCGATATTTTGTGCTGGCTGTCAATGAGACATGTACTTCCAGTGCTTCACATCCCTTGCTCTACCACCTTGCCGCCGACTGGAGCAAGCATTAGCGCATGAGTTAATGTTTGTTGAGCATCTAACACTAAGAAGTGGAGTAACCTAACCAACGAAGACATTCGGTCTGATCTCAAGGTAATACGAGGTATTGATTGGAAGGGAGAAGTCTCCACAACCACAGTTTCTGATGTTTTTGTAGTCGTTTCTAGCCTTTCTGTTGTTCTTTTCCAAGGGCTGGGGAAGCGAGGGGGGGGG